TGTCTACTTACAGGTTCAGGGCCACATTTCTCTCCAGAAGAGCTTTAATCCTGGCTGTTGGTTGGTTTCACAGAATCACAGAATAGCTGGGGTTGGAAGAGACATCTGGAGATCATCCAGTCCCACCCCCAGCCGAGGGAGGGTCAGGTTTTGTGTTGACCAAGCCCTGTTGCCCCTTCTGGTCTAATTGCAAGTGTGAGCACTGCAGCCACATTGTTTTGCTGCTGAAAATAATTACAGTTTTCCCTCTAATTTGAGGCTGGCAGAATTGAAGCAGTGTTCTCCACTCCCCCAAATGCTCGCTTTCTTCTCTGTCCCATATTTTCTACCCTAAAAATCTAGAGATGAAGATCCCTCTGTCTGCATATAGAATGAAAATGGCGGTGCCTGTGGCCAGGATTGTTCTGGAGCAGTGATGGAGCAGTTTGTCCCAGCACTGGTTTGATGTGATAGAGAAGTCCTGACCATCCCTGTCTGGTCTCATCCAGGAGCCCCAAGATCCAATTTTACCCATGGGAATTCATGCACCCCATTCTCCATTTGATTCCTCTCCCTCCCACCTGCGGTTTTCTCTGGTGGCACATCAGCCTCTGATCAGAGTGACTCACCTGAGCTGGCAATGAGTGATCCATTTGCAACCCGATCCAGTAACGAAGCTCTTTGCATGGCAAACTGCAAGTTGTTGATGTGCTCCTGGGAGAGTTGCAGGGTGGGTTGGGGGAGCAGCACTGCCTTCACTCTGCACATCACTTGCTCCAGTAAAGCCTTTATGCTTTTGGAAGAAGTGGGGACAGGATGAGTTAAACCAGAGCTGCTTGTCAGCCAAATCCAACCCCTGCCGTATCTGGGGAAGGGGCTGGACCTGTATCCCCCTGTCTGCTCTGGTAGTTTTATGCAGGGGTGATGGGGCTGTGTGTCCTTTCCTCGGGTATTGTGTCCTTGCTCTGTCTTTGCTGAATGGCCTTTTAATCTCAGAATTGCCTCTTCTTGCTCTCTCTGAGATCTCACTGCCCTGGCTTTCAGAGAGGACTATGCTGTTTGTGTGGCCTCTGCACTAAATGAGGGCTATTCCCGCTTCCCTCCCAGACTGAACCTCAGAACTGGTAGTGCTTCATTTTGCAAACACAAGTACTGTATTCGGCTCATTGAGCACATGACAGGATCACTCCCTTGTTCCTAAAGAGCTTCCAGGAGGGCAGGGTGAATGCCCAAAGGGGGCATCACACTCAGTATATGCCGACACCTGCAGCCTTACCCCTTCCTACCACTCTTCTGTCTGTGAAGGGACTGCAGGCTGGACAACTCCTGCCAGGAAGATGCCAAGAGCCATTGGGCTGGCAGGGCTCTTTCTGTCCCCCATCTGATACGTGCCCCCCAGTTCAGCCATGTGTGCCCCAAGCCAGGCTGTGCCTCCTCTCTGTACCTCACATGTCACACGCGGCCGAGCTCCCCGACTACCTCGTGAGGAGGAGGAGGAGGGCAACCACAAGCACCCCGAGCTTGCCCACGGGGTGCATCACCCCATCAGCCAACACCCAACAGCCCAGTGCAGCACCAGGGTCGAGGTTTGTGATGAGGGGGGGCATCACCATGGCTTGGGGCCCACGAGCTGGGTGTGGGTTTGGCACATCCCCAGCGGGCTGTCGGCCCTGCTGTTCCCTGCTCCTCACAGGCTCCCTAAAACCTCCCAAACCCCGTTTGTTTGTCCGTGTCTCGCTATATTATGTAAGTGCGTATAAATCTACATTACTGTGGGCGGGTGGGGGGCAGCAGAAGGTAGATGTAGCTGTGTACATGCCTATCTATACTTTCACCTTTATGGGATGGATTTTTTTTTTTTTTTTTTTGGTGGGTTTGGGATTTTTTTTTTTTTTTTGTGGGGGGGGTGGGTAGGGAGGGTTGTTTTCTTTTTTTTTTTTTAAGAAATAAAAAGAAACTGCTTGACTGGTTTCAAGCACCTTAGTGAACCCGTGTGTGGCTGGTGTAATTCTGGGGTGAAATGTGGTGTGCTGCTCTCCTGTGCAGAGCAGTGGCAGCTCAGCCCAGGGAGCTGGTTTGGAGTTTGACATGTGCCATCTGTCCTGGCAGCTGTGGCTGTGCTCCCCCACACAGCAGTGCCCGGGAGTGGTGAGGGTTATGGGTACCCTGGCAGGTCCTTGTGAAGTGTGCAGAGCTGCTCCATGGCCTGAGACTGGCAGCACTGGCCTGTTGGCATCTCAGAAGGATCAGCTCTGTGGATAAAGTGGGGCAACAGAGTGTGTAAAAAAGGCATTTTAGCCATTGTTGGTCTCCTTCACCACCTGTGGCGAGCGAAGGTTTTCGTGTGAACACTTAACTCTGGCCGTGTGCTTGCCAGGGCAGAGTTATGAATGAATTTTTCCACTCCACATTAAACCATATCTGAGGCTACTTGACTGGTGTCTGGCTTCAGCAGCCCACATTTCAGGATATAAACAGTTTACAGAGCAGCCTTCTGTTGGCCTCTGCTTGTGAAATTAAGAGCCAGGCATTGCTAAGAAAAAAGAAAAAGAAGCAGTGACTCCCAGAAGCAAAATGAGAAGCATGTAAAGTGTGTAACTTTTTTTTTTTTTTCTTTTAAGCAGATGAACAGAGCTGTCCTGACCTTTCCTCTCTGGATCAGCACTGACACGCTTTGCAAACCACTGCCCAGCTCAAGCTCTTTTAAACACTCTGGAGCACTCTGTACAAGCCAAAGTTTTATTTGTTTCATAAACAAGTAAAATTATATTAATGTAAAACAGGTAAATGGACAAAAGTAAAACACACAGCACTGAACACAACGCTATAGAGTACTGACATGTAGAAGTGCAGTTCCCTCCCTCGTGCGATGCCCTCCCTCCCCCGGTCCCCCAAATGATTTGCTTGAAAAGCCTAATACAGAGGTCCAAAATCTGATTCAGCTTAAACAAGATGTACAGGTCACAGTATTGAATCATAAAGGTAATGACAAGAGAGTAACTGTCTCAGAAAGGGGGAAGGTAAAAGAGTTCCCCAATCACTTCTCTTTCTTCCTTCCTTTCTTCCTTTTTTTTAAATTTTTAAACAAAGAGGTTAAGGAGGAGAGGGGGGGAAAAACCATGGAAATAAACACTTTTTCACTTCAGTATATATATATATATATATATATATATATGTATATATATATATATAAAGCAGGATTCTCAGTGAACACAAAATTCTATAAAACTACCATTGATCTGTGTTGTTTTCTCCCCCCCCCAATTTTTTTTTTCTTTTTAAAAGTTGCTTTAAAAAGGATAAAAAGTGCACAGACACCCTTATAAGGCACAAACAGATCTTCTGTACAAATCATATATCATTGGACTGTTTAAAAAAAATAGCAATACGAATACTAACAATTAAATCTGAAAGAGGCTACTTTTTCCTGGACTTTTTTTTTTCTTTTTTTTTTTTTTTTTTTTTTTTTTTTTTTTGAGGCCTATTTTGGAAAATTCCTGTTGCTCTCAGATAGGCAGGGTGACACATCCACTGCTCTCACGTCCTGTTTGCTGCTCGGCTGTGCTCCAGACCCTGTCTGAGCTGATTCCCTTGCTGGCATCACTGGGTGCTGCCCTTCTGGAAACTGGTCTTGGCTGCTACAGCAAAAATTCAGCCTCTGCAATGTGTCCTGAACAGCTCAGGCCCAGCCTGGGGTGGATTTGGTATTTCTCCTTGCTGGCTTAAAAATACAGAAGAGATCTACACCAAAATAAACCCCACCCCAGGCGTGCACCAATCCTGCTCACTGAGGACCTGAGGTGTTGGGCAAGCAAACGGGCTCTGCTCTGCTGGTGTGGCTGTGTGCAGTGACCAAAGGGACTGGGCACTCCTGAAACTGGGACAGCAGCCCCGGGGGTGGCCACTGGTGCTCACAAAGCCCAGACCTGATACAGGCTGACATCGCTCGCGGTGGATTCCGACAGCTTTCCTTGAATTCCTCATCATGCAAAGGCTTCCCACTTGCAGCCTGTCCCCAGGCAGGCACTGACCCGCCTGGCCCTTCATCCCGTGCTGACATGCCCTGCCATCATCGTGCCCTTGGTGCTGTGCCCACCAACAGCCTGATCTGCCAGTGTGGCACCCGGGAGGTCTCTAGGAAGGCAATGCCAGGAGGGCAGCCAGGAGGTCCAGGTAAGGCTCCAGATGCAGGGAAGCTGCCCTTGCTACCTCCTTCAGTAAAGGTGTGAGTGAACTCGTGCCGCAGTCGCGGTGCCAGTGGCTGTGCTGAGGGCTGAGCACGCTCGGCGGTGGCACAGACAGTGCCATCAGCCAGGTTCCCAAAAAGGACTCTGCAAAGCCAGTGGGCCCTTGTGCTGATGCAGCAGGGCAATAGCTGAGAGATGTCACTCTAGAGCAGCCTCTCATTTATACACTTAATTAAAATGTTCATCAGTTCTTAAAGGTAAAAAAAAAAAAAAAGGTTTCCCCGTGCCCTGTGAACTGGCAGGCACAGCCCACTGCAGGAGGAGAATGAGCCGCTCTCCATGATGGAGAGCAGGGCTGGCTGCTGGTCAGTAACCAAACACAGCTCTCCTGGCACAGCCAAACCACCACCCAGGCAGCAGCACCAGGAGAGGGGATGTGCACCCACAGCTACTGGCACCTTGCAGGAGAGAAGAAATGGCCAGAAGAGATGACAGGCACTGACAACATCAGGCTGCCCCTCTGTGCCCAGAAGCCCTGAAATATACAGGAGCTGCTATTTTGTTTTTGTCTTTCTTGGACTAAAATTGCACCTTTCTGAAAAAGCTGTTCTTACGCACTTGGTAGCACATGGTCACCAAGCTACAATACCAGCCCCTCTCTCATCCTCCCATTTGTATCCTCTCTCTTTTTCCCTCTCAGACCAACTGGAAGCTGGTCAGACTCAGGCTGAAGGACTGGACAGGGGCTGTGCAAGTGGGCAGAGGACGGAGAATGGAGGAACTGAGTTCCTTGCACCAGTCCCAGTGCTGCACACTCAGATGAAACCCATTTACATTATCACATCTGAAACCCATTTACCTTTAAAGTCCCAATATCTACTAATAGCCCCAGAGCCTTTTTCTTTCCTACTCCTAAGTAAAGCCAAGTGAGTTAGATCCCTGTTTTTCTCAACAAGTTCTCATCTACTGTTGAGACCCAGCTGTGCTGGAAAACCTGGAAAGGCAGAAGAGCAAGTAGGTAAGATCAGCACATACAGAGTCGTCAGAAAAAAAGGTGAGCCTGCTGGGACTGGGTCAGAAATTAATTTCTCACCACAGGCTCCAAAAAGCCTCCATGGTGGGGCAGGAGGAAAGCTGAGCCCTGCCATGGCACTGGCTGCAGGGGAAGGTCTAGGACAGGTCTAGCCAGGCAGGATGGGGTAACATGGCAGCTGTGCCACCTGCCAAGAGGGCAGAGCAGAATGCAGGTGTGTGTGTGCCTGGAGATGGCAAACACCATCACAGCCAGGATTGCAGTGTTCCCACCCAAACACTCATCTCATCCATAGGCTGCAAATTATGGCTTAATCAGGCCTGGGTCGCTCCTCATAGCTGCCCACTGCTGGGGCTGGCTGGGCTCTCAGTGGGCTACCCCATGGCAGCTCTTCAGGTCTCAGCTTCCCTGGCCAGAAAGTCCCTGCTCTGCCACAGAAAGCAAAAGCTGATTTATCTAAGTCCAGACTGGCTTTTCCATGTACCCCATAAACCTGTTCACGGGGACGGAACCCAAACAAGTGAGAATCTGGCTGTGCTACTATTTGGCTTTAGCTAGTTCTCCTTACACGGATGAATAGGGCATTTCCAGATCAGTTTTGTCCACTTTGAACCCTCCCGCTTATTTTGTTCCACCACAGCAAAAGCACTTGGCAGCAGCCCAGAGCTGTTCAGGTTTTGGGGTCAGGAAGCCCAGTGGCACCTGGCACTGACCAAATGGCAACCTCCCCTTGCAGATCCACACCACAGCAAGCCTCCTCCGGAGCAGGAAGAGGGAAAAAAGAACCTTTGCACGGGAAATTTCTCATTTGCAGCTGGGTTAGGTGCAGACCGCGATTCCCCGGATTCACCTGTGGGCACACAGCCTGGCCGTGCCTTTGGGCCCTACACGATCCTCAGCTCAATTTTATCCCTGAATTGTGCCCTACCTGTCAAATAAGGAAACACAGATAACGAGCCACTTGATAACGACTGACCAGCACGATAACCCATAAGCAGGGACGGAAAGGCGTGGTTACTGCTAGCGGCGTTCCCCTTCCTACAGCCCGAGGCGGGCGCTAAGGGCGGTATATTTTAATAACATCTTTGATGACCCGTCGGCAGATTGGGCAGCAGGCGTTGAGCTGCTTCTTCAGCTTAAGACCGCAGGTGTTGCAGAGGCACATGTGTCCGCAGGTGTAGATCACCGTGTCCACCTCGCTGTCAAAGCAAACGGTGCACTCCCCGTTCTTGCTGCTGGATGGCTCCGGAGGGGGGAAGACAGGAGAGATGGGGGGGCTCAAGGGGGAGCTTGGAGCAGTCACTGCGAAAAGAGGAGGAAGGAATGAGATCGTTTAGTTGCCACAACGGTGCAAACCTGACACTGTACAACACATACGCTCAAGTCAGTCTTTAAGGCTCTTCCTTCATTAGTCATTGCCTGGTTTATTCCAACCAGTAGCCCAGTTACAGTTCCAGGCAGAGCCTGCTATCCCTTTTTTACAAATGGGGCAAGTGCCACATCCACACATTTTTTGAACAGTTCTAGGGATGGTGATTCCACCACTTCCCTGGGCAGCCTGTTCAATGCCTGACCACCCTTTCAGTTAAGAAATTGTTCCTAATATCCAGTCTAAAACACCCCTGGTGCAATGTGAGGCCATTTTCTCCCATCTTGTCACTTGTTACTTACAAGACAGACCAACCCCCACTGACCTCCACCCTCCTGTCAGGGAGTTGTAGAAAGCAAGAAGGTCCTTGAGCCTCCTTTTCTCCAGGCTGAGCCCCCCCAGCTCCCTCATCTGCTTTTCATCAGACCTGTGCTCCAGACCCTTCCCCAGCAACACTGCCCTTCTCTGGATGTGCTCCAGCACCTCAACGACTTTCTTGTCATGAGGGCCCCAGAACTGAACCCAGGATTTGAGGTGTGGCCTCCCCAGTGCTCAGTACAGGGGGACAGTCACTGCTCTGGTCCTGCTGGCCATTGCTGGTACAAGCAACGTGCAGACTTTCTTTAGGCCATGAAAATCTTCCCACCACTTGGTGTTTTCCTACAGTTCCTTCTGTCAGTCTGGTAGGAAATGCAACATCTCCCCCTAACCTTGCCCTGCTGTCTTGCATAGTCCCAGTCCTATCTCATGCAGGATTCCTGTCCTGCTGTGGTGGGAGCCGTGGGCCAGGCTGTCCTTACCCAGCGATGACTCTGAAGCCGATGACGACCTGTTGACGCTGAAGGCCATGTCCGAGTCGCTGTCGTACTGGGAGCCGCCGGGGGATCCTGAGGGCGAGACGGTCACCGGGCTGGACTGCACCGTGCCTGAGAACACAGGACAGAGCTCAGCTGAGCCTGCCATGGGCAAGGGACACCCCAACCCCAGCTAAACACCTGCTGAGCTGCTCCCACCCCACACACACAGGGTGCTGCAGGGTAAAGCCCAGCTTCTGACTTAAGTGCTGCCCCTTAGTAATGATTTGTAGTGACTTTGGAGGTGCACGATTTTGAATGTGAGGTCCAGAGTCTGGACCTCATTACGCCATTGTACGATGCTTGTTCAGTGCTTCAGTGAAGCAAGAACCAGGTTATCCGACATTTGGGAGTATAAAATCACTTCCCCACAGTCCCAATTTCTCCAGCAGCAGTCGCTGTCTCGCTGTCAGCATTGCTTTGGATGAGGAAAACCTGCTTTACAAAATCATCAATGTCTGCTTTTCTGGTAGAATCCCTTCTGTTAGATCCAGCAATGGATCAAAAGTGCCAGCTGATACCCGAGCTGTGGCAGTGCTTGAGGAGCGATTACTGTCCAATACTTGTGCTTAAACAAGAGCTGTGCTCACAAACATCATCATCCTTACCAAGGCAGGAGTTTAATACCTTTTGTCTGGAATAGGGAGTTTATAAAGAATCTCTTTAAAAAACAAAGCCTCTGAAATACAGCTGCCTCCCCCGACAGCCATCCCTGCCTGCTGCTTATTTTATGTCTCCAGCCTCATCCATTTCTGGGGGACTTCTGTAGGCTGCACACTTCTATGTGACAGCCACCATGTCTCACTCACTCTTGTTTACAAACACAAGGTGAGATCAGGAGCTGCTTCCTCACATCGGTGGACACTTACGAGTGCAAACCTGTAGCTCTGGTTCTGGACCAGGGAACTTCACAAGCCAGGTGCTCCCTGATATCCTTTCTTTTGGCTGCACTTACCCAGTATTTTGAGCTGGTTGATTACACCATGGATTGTAAAAAACACCCAGAGAGACTGTGAGGTGTCCACACACATCAACATTCCTCGGCTGGCTCCATTCACCCCGTGGTGCACCTCTCCATTCGGCAAGACCATGAAGCTGAGAATGTCGCCGTTGTTGAGGACCGGGAACGCTCGGTAAACCACCCAGTACTCTTTGCGGTCCAAGAGAAAGTCTGGATCTGCTGGGAGCTCGTTTGTCCGTAAAGTACTCGGATCACAAGAAGTGATGCCAAACGAAAGGGCCCCGTAGTATGGCAACCCAAGGTGTCCTACTTCCACAAAGAGGCTTTCACCAATGTGCAAAGGCCGGTCAGAAAACACCAAAGTCCTATTGCTTTCCTGCCAGTTGGTGCACGCAACCATCCGGTCCTGAGAAAAGGTGATGTCAGGGCCGCGGGTGGGGTGGAACCGCAGGTCTGTGTCCAGGAAGGCCGGGACCCCCTGCGCATGATGCCGCCGGTTTGGGCAGCAGGGGATGATGTGGTTGTCTGTCGCAAGTCCTGGTACCCGGCTTAGGTTTAGGTTTGCAATTTTGGCCACCACTTGGTTGTTCTCTAGTTCGTTGTTGTTGAAGTTGGCTGAGTCGTGGTTGCTCTGCGGAAGGCAAGTGCTGAGCCGGGCAGTGCTGAGCCGGGCAGTGGTCATGGTCTCTGCAAACATGCTGTCTGTGAGACAAAGCCAGTGACACAGGCATTAGAGGCAAGATACAACTGCCTACTTCTGTGGTTATAATTATTATTTCAGCCTACAGATTCAGTCCCTCTGAATGGAAAATCAACGGGAAAAATCAGCCAGAGGTCAAGCACTAATTGGTGGAGATTCAAGTGTGGAGCAGGCAGAAGGCAGAGAAATAGCTGCATCTTGGCACCAGCCAAGGAAAAACAAGTGTTTCAAAGTACCCATGTGATCTGAGAGTTCCCTGCACTGATGATGAATTGCAAAAAGCTGTAAACCAGCGTGGTCCTACAGCTTTCTCAGTGGAGAGGTCTAATAGCTTTGAGATCACTCTTTAAGAGAAGGAAACCTCTCAATATCTTGTTGTCCAAAGCTCTTGTATCAGTCAAATCCACAACACAGTGATGGGCAAAGGAACACAAGCACAATAATCTTTCCACACTCCTTGTCATTGCCTTATAACTGTCCAAGCACAAGTGTTTCTAAGAGAGATCATTTTAAGGAAGATATCAAGCTTTGTATCTCAAGGGTGTTCTCAGCCTTACAGAGATTCTGAATGGAGAGCTGGTCACAAAAGCTACTTCCTGCAGGTGTTAGAAAGCTTTTCATGGCAGAGAATTGTTTTCCCTTTTCACAGCAAAGGGAAAGTCAGGATGTTGATCTTTAACTCATTTTCCAGATTTTCACTTCGGCCATGTCAGACTGGGGGGACCATGTAAAGGTGTGGAGAAGTTTGGGAGTGTCCTTGCTTCTACCTCCAGCCCTGCCCAGGGCAGCCTGGACACTTGACTTTGAAGGCAAGGCCTCAACCCATTCAGCAAAGTCGAAGCCCGTGGAAGTAAAGAGTCTGTGTGAATGAAGCAGACTCCTGGTCTTCCCAGAGATAGGGGTGAAGAAGCCCAGCACCAACACTGACTGCTCCTTGGAGGAGAAAATCAACAGGCTTTTACCAAAGAAGGAAAAACACTCAAATCCATCCAGCACCTGCAAAGCAGAGGCTGCCTCATTCTGCAGCAGGAGAGGCTGCTGGGGTAGAATGATGGCTGGACCAGCTCCTTCTGGCAAGGACAGGGTGTCTGGCAAGAAAGAGGAGTAAGACATCCAAGTTTCATGATGGATATGCCCCATCCCTGGAAGTGTTTGAGGCCAGGCTGGACGGGGCTTGGAGCAACCTGGTTGAGTGGGAGGTGTCCCTGCCCAAGGCAGGGGTTGGAACTGGATGATCTTTAAGGTCCTTTCCAATATAAACCATTCTGTGATTCTATGATGCATAATGATGAAAGATGCACTTTGTGCATCGGAACTGGAATTATATTTCACAGCTTTCTCAACTTGCAAAATTTTGGGAGGAAGAGACAGAGACAAGCACATCCTCAATGACACCATCACATCTGTAGCAAGGAGCCTGGGTCCCCCTGGTGCTCCAGACAGCTGAGCATCGCCCTGATTCCCAAGGCAGTTTGTGGAGTTTGGTATTTTAATTAAAAAAACATCAGAGTACAGGTGCTCCCAGGCTGAGTCTTTCACTCTGCACACTGGGATGATGCAGGCATGACAGGGGGTGAGGGGCAGAAAGAAGCAGCATTTTATTTTTCTAACTCCAATCTAATGAGGAAGAAGGAGTGCTTCAGTGAAGCAGCTGCCCTGGCCAATACAGCAAACACTCCTGCTCTGTGATGAGCACCAGAGGCTGGAGTGCATGGCAATTGCAATTACAGGATAAGCTACTGGTAAGGTTTAATTACACATTTGAGGCACAGCAGACAGGGAAAAGTGCTGTTTATGTGTAGCCTTCTCGCCTGTAAAATAATTGGCACCATTCAGAAGAATATGTGATGTAGCTGCCTGCTCACTGGACTAACCATTTCACAGCTTATCACCGGTGTCTGCTCTGTGCCAGGATGGCAGCACCATACCCTCGAGCAGGTGCAGCTGAGTTTGGCTGTTAAAACTCCATCAGCTCCTAGGAGCCTCTGGGAAAGGCCAACACTTGTATTTTAAAAAGATTCCCTGTGATGTAGCCCAGTTCAAAACCCTCCATCTAACACTGAATTCATTTGAAATTTCAGGGCCACAAAAGGAAAGTCATTCCACGGCAATCGGTTTGGTTTGCTAATGGGAACAACTTCATCCTCTCTTGCAGCCCTCCCCAAGGGTGATGTCTTTAAATCAGCCAGACACCACCTGAATGCAGTGATCTGTGTGATGCCCGTGTGTAAGGGAAGGGTAAGTCAGCTCACATCTGCAAATCCAGCCCCTTAAACTGCCAGCCTGGGGGGGACCAAGGCCAAGAGCAGAGAGAGGGGCTGGGGAAGGGCTCCAGAAAACTCTTAGGCAGTGAGTGGTAGTTTTCCAATGGACTGGCAGTAACTGGTAGCTGGGAAAGAATGAAAGCACTGGTCATCTTTGTCTGCTCGGTCCCTGGGACTTTGCTGTAAGCAGCACCATGTTTTTCCACTCCACAGCAGCACATCTGGCTCAGAGAAAGCTGGGTGAAGTTACAGGTAAAGATTTCCATTTATCCCTTTACAGAGCTGCTATAACGTGCAGCCTTAGGGCTTTCCATCACTGACATCTCTGAAATATATTGCTTTCTGGATCTCTAGTGCTGGCAAATGAAAAATGGTTAATTTGAGGTACAAAACCAACAGCAAATTAATTTTCTTAAGTCCCACAGAAATGATCAACCAGATAGATCATGCGTCATTTCTACAGGATCATACCTCTGTGGAAAGAGCAACCAGAAGAGCAAGCACACACTTACCTAGTATCTGCACTTCATGGGTAATCCCGTAGACATCTATGAGTGCCCAAAGGGGACCGGAAACTTTAATACCACAGTGAAACAGTATTGGCTCCTCATCATTAATACTGTAGAAGACTCTCCCATGACGATCAACCCAGAAGGCCAAGATATTGTCCCTCACAGCGAACCTCTCTGGCAAAGCTTTGGCCCAGTATCCGGGACGGGTCACCAGGTCTGGGCAGGCATACTTTGGTATCTCGTCAGAGCTCATCTGCGACGGGTCGTGGATGGTGAAGCCGAAGCGCAAGGCCCCGCTCCAGCCGTGGTGCACAGCCACCAGCTTCAGCCGGACCTTCTCGTAGAGGTGGATGGGCCGGTTGGTGAAGGTGACCCCATTGCAGAAGCTGTTCCTCCGCGTGGCCTTGCGGGAGTGAACGTCCAGGCGCACGTTCTTGCCTTTGGCTTGGGAGTGGAAACGCGGCGGCTCCGTGATGGCGAGGACCGAGCGCCTCTCATGGCTGCTGTTGGGCAGACTGTAGTACGGGCGGCTGGAGACGGAGCGGGTCTGGTGGCTTGTGTCTGCAAAAAGAGAAACCAGTGGCTCTGTCAGAAGTGCTTGACCCGGGCCATGTGCTGGCTCAGCCCTGCCTTGCCGGGTGTGCCTCGCGCTCCTCGCTAGGACCCGCTATTTAATCTCACAACGCTGTGCTTATCCACAATCTGCTCTTTGTTGTCCCAGTTTGGCCCTCAGCTTTATGCAAATGCAAGGCAAACACAGCTCTCAGGGTAAAGGTTAGGCAGCTTCCCTTCTACGCCCTGCAAAGCTGGATGGAAAGGAACATCCTTTGTTCCCATCAGATGCATCCTATTGCACTCGGAAAGGCTTAACACCTGCGACTGTGGCTCCAGATTTCCTATTTGCAATGCCTGTGCTGTTAACTCACACGGTGGCCAGAGACACACCAGCTCTGAGAACGGTCACGTGTCAGAGATGCTCGAGATGAACACAAATGTAGGAGACTGATTTTTGTGGTCATGAAAGCACTGGCTCCTCTGGGCCCTAATTTCGTAGCAATGAACAGGCACTTTTGAAAAACACAAATAAACCAACACATTTAGCAGCTGGAGCGCTACCTCTGCATCACCAGGCTGTTCTTCCACAACTTTCAACTCAGCCACTGGTTCAGATATCAGATGGAACTGGCACATTAAGGAGCATTTCATCCTGCAAAGCCTTGACTTTACATAGAACCTTCCATTTGAGCTCAAAGCACTTTATAAATGATGATTGTTTTCAGCTTCACAGCACTGCAGATGGCACAGAAATCCTGCCATCCTCATTTTACAGATGGGAGAAGGAGAATTTATGGGTGAGATCTTTCAGCATTTTAAGTCAATAGCAATTTTGAGACCAATTTCAAGAAAAGCAGATCTGGGGCCTAAAATGAAGTTCACACAAGCATGAAGCAGAAGTGAAAAAAGCTCAACTTTTAATCTTAAGCCTTAGCTATGAGCTCCCTGAGGTGGAGGCAATCTCTTTTGCATATCCTTGAACACATGGGGTTTCACTCCAGGACTTGGGATCCCATCACACCATCACCACCATGATGCTACAGGCAATTCGGTCTCCCCATTTCCCACCCACTCCACCTCTCCTCCTCTCTGCACCTGGCTTTGTAGATTTTTTAAGCAAAAATGGAACGTATCCTGAGTGCTCAAAGTCATCCTGTTAAATATAAAACTGCATCACATGCTCACATTCATTTTGAACTATTTTGCCACGTTTGAAGCTTTAGAAGCCGCCTGCCTGGCCCTTCCTTCAAGCTGCTTCCTCCCTCTGTGTAACCCCAGGCTTTGCTTTGTGACAAGGGATGCATTTTCTGACGCTTTCCTCTCTTGGGAAAAAAAAAAAAAAACACCAGAAGATGCCGGGAGCACAGCTGGGAATGCTGGTAGGAGGCTGCAGTTGTGACACCTTTTTCTGCAAGCAAAACCATAGCAGACAGGGCAGCAAGAGGCTGGGACCTGCATTTGTGGCTGAACTAACAGAGGCACTAAGCAACCACTGCCTTGGCAAATGAGAGAGACAAGGGGTCACAGACAAGATCTGAACACAGGATTAGCCCTTGAAATCAGGCATCTGCGACAGGAGCCAAAGAACTACAGAGGCAAAAAGCTCCTGTTTGCAGCAAGACAAAAAGGGCAATCCTAAATTGTGACAGGCAAGTGCACAAAAGGTGGCTTTATGCTTCTTCCTTCTGTACATGATAGTCGCTGTGTAGCACCAGGTAATGGTTAATCCTGTCCTACACCAGTGTAAATAAATTCATCCTTGCTCTTAAACCAGTGGGAGGGGGTTACCATTTCCATGGCAGAGCCATGAAGGCAACCCCCACCCCAGTCTCCCCCCAGTGTTAAATCCCCTGGGGCACTGTCCCTGACTGGCACAGCACCTCTGTTCCCAGCAGCACTGCAGGCCAGGTGCATCCTCCTGGACTTATCCCAGTGCAGGACAGGATTCCCGGGGTATTTAGGGTCAGCCTTGGCCATGCCTGTAGGAGGTGGGGGCATTTCTTTTTGTATTCCCAGGAGAAATCTCATTTCTTGCCTCCTGTAGAGCTAAATTGTAGAGATGCCTGCTCTCATCACAGACCCACCCAGCTCATGTGGGTGCTGCTCCACGTGTCTGTGTGTTCCCAACAGACGCTGCTGCTGCAAAGGAAGGGTAGTTTGGGGGTTCCTTAGCAGGGAGAGGCAGCATGGCATGAACCCAGCCAGCACACAGTGCAGGGTGAATGACCCTCAGCAGAGAGGGGTGAACCTTCTCCAGCCTTGCTTCCCTACACTGGCTCCCCATTTTCCATGTGGATTCATAGATCCCTTGTGCTGTTCCACTGGGATGTGGGTTCAGCAGAGCCAGGTGCTGCCAGGACAGACTTCAAGGGGCTCCTGCAGGATCAAGTGGGCTCAGTGCTGCCCTTTCACATCACACTCTGCCTGGCTGGGCAACAGCCTCCCTGGACAGAGAATCTCTCATTTCATAACCCACTGAACTGCTTTTTTTTCCCAAAATGGTTGAAAACAACCCCCCTGTGAAAGCAAGTGCCCTGGCCTCAATGTCCCTGTCTTGGCCAGGAGGCAGAAGGAGGGAAGAGAGCTCCTGTTCTCCTCTCCACTATCCTAAGAATACCCTGCTTTCCACTCCCAGTGCAGGACCAGCCTTCCTCCCACATCGACCTGCAGGAGAAAAGACACGATTAAAGATGGAGCACGGCAGGATGCGATTCCTCCAGCACCCCTCCTGGGCAGGTTCTTCTCATGCCACTTTTGGAAGGCACAGAGGACTGAGGTGGCAGTGACAATGCCAGCAGCACAAGTGACAGAAGAGCAACGACACAGGCACCCACTGCAAAAGCAGCTTTGGGTCCACCCTGCCAGAGAGGAACTTGGGGACAGGGTCTGGCACTCTTTGTTTTGGTTTGTTTTTTTTTTTTTAAAAAACAGGAAAGCATATTGTGACTAAACAATAGGAAAGTCCCCATAAGGAAATGAATGGATAATTTATTTATAACATCGTCCCCTCCTCGCATGAACACCTGCCGGTCGCCACCGGGAATAAAGCCTGACATAACCCGAGGCAGGGGAGGCAGAGCTTTCCCACTGAAACACGCCTGAAGCTGAGCTGGGACATGTGCTTTACTCATTACGTGCTAACGGGGACTAGGCAAGCTCAACAGGATGTTTGTGCCTTTGAATTGCCCTAATTTGCAGCTCAGCTTCCATAGTTTGGATCACATTTCAGTCCCTCTGCTGTTTCTCCAAATCCTCTCCTCTCCTGCCTGCACTTCCCTACCCAAAAGCCAGTCAGTGGGATAATGACAGCCAAGCTCATGGCAGAAGTGCCACCCTACCCAAGGGTACCTGACAGGTAGCAAAGAGCTATGCCAACTCTTTTTTTCAGCTATGAGATTCCTACAACGCTTCGAGCAAGTAATCTCTTCTCTTTCTGCCTCACTTCCCTGTCTGAAAGAGAGTAACACTATTCCTCCACCCCACAGGAAGCTAAATGGATTAAAAAATATGAGGTTCTCAAACACTTCAATCCCTGAGCCCTGTAAGCATGTCAGCAGGCTGGCTACATCATCACATGGGACCAACTGAGTTCCCTGAGAGATGTCTTGAGATTCCATGCAACATTTTCCTTATTTTTGTTCCAGAGTTTTCCATATTTCATCCCTAGTCTCACTAACTGCAAACATGATGCTCACTCAAACACATAAGAGAGACTTCAGCACATATAAATTAAGGCAGGAAAGCAGAAGAAAAAGCTGAAGTGAAGGATGAAGAATGGTCTAAGGCTTCTCACTCTAACGTGCAGAAGAAAACCTTTTGGCGAGGCAGCATTTCCATCTACATCCTTATGGTGTCAGACAACACTGAAACAGATTTGGGTTATGGGGCCCCATGATCTCAGCTGCACATCTGAAGCTTCACCTGCTTTCCAAAAGGCCAGCGCATTCATTTCGGAGGTTATGCTGACCTTTGGAGAGGTATTTTAACAGACATGCACTTTGCATTTCAAAAAGGTACAGCAGGCAGACCCTGGACAAATTCCACATATTTATCATGGTTCCAGTTCTAAAAATAAACATTTTTTTCACCCATTTGTTCACAGCATCAGCTTTGCAGCAGCACTGTAATCCCACTGACAGCAGCAGACAAAATTCAGCACAAGAGCCCTCTCCCAGGCTGGCGCTCTCCAGGGTGTGGGATGGAGGAGGTTGCTCAGCTGGTGAGTGACCTTAAGCCAGATTGATCCTGTCTTCACTTGCCTGGACAAGCCAGGCAGGAATAATACCCCTAAATCGAGGGAGAAGGGAATAACATTCAAGGAGACCGGAGCTACAGCAGTCACAGTGAGAGCAGCCTGACAGGAGGAGGAGAAGGAGAGCACTGCCTCCCCCGTAAATCCATGGTCTGCATCAAAAGATGCTGTGCCCCACAGCATCCTTTTTTCTGAGGAAAAATCAGAAAGTAAACCCAAGTAAATCCGTGACAAGAGCCACATAGGATCACAAGAGGCAGTTTGGTGCCAAACAGGGTTATGTCCTGGATACAGCAAGGGAACAGAAATTCCTGCGACCATCACCCAGCTCACAGCAGATGCGGCTCACCAGCAGGCTGAGGAAGTGTGATCTCCTTGTGCTGTTCAGAGAAAGGCTGAGAGGTTCAGAGGAGAGGCTGAAAAGCTCAGAGGAGAGACTGAGAGGCAGCAGTGTGTGGCCTGAAATGTCTATCAAGCCTCGCTGCACAGGTGAAAGGGAATCCACCAAACACACCCACATCTTATCTTTATGGCCACTGCTTTATCTGTAACATGAGAACCTTTTCCTATTACAGTAGATAGTTGGGTCGGTGCTGCTGCAACACCCCTGTTGAACATTAAACAAGGTGTCTGGAGAGAGAGGGCAGGTGGTTTTTGCTTTGTGACAGGAAAACCCCAACAGGTGAGGACAAGAAGGCCAAGTTCGCTGCATGACTGCAAGCTTGTAGAAACAGCCCTCGGGGACTGAAGTCAA